AATATTAAAAACGGGGTGCGGGGTTATGCTCATGTGTCGTGTCACTTGCTATTCAATAAGCGGTGCAAGATTTCCTCCATCAACCGTATCACTCGCCGCACCACTATCTCTAGCCTATTGTTGTTCTTCATGTTGCTTGTCATGGTGCTGGCATTGTTTGGTCGCGGCATCACCACTTACATTTGGAAACATTACTGTGGCTGTCATTGCTCTTTCTGTCATTGCTATTACTCTTATGACGTTGTGATCATTGCTATGGTCGTGGTCGTTGCTGCTCTTCGCTGTTGTGACAAACAACTGACAGCATGAGGAACACGCGTCCTCCAGAGATGGCGATAATGCCGTCGCTGGGCATGGGGAATGCCTGGCTAAAGGCTTAGTCTGATTACCATGGTTGGTACTATTCTTTTTCTTAGTTTGTACTACTACTAGTGCTACTACTACTACTACTACTACTACTACTACTACCACGACATTTCCTTTTAGTGATGCTTCTTCTTGTTATTGTTGTTATTATTGTTACCATTAGTGTAATCATTAGTGTGTGCAGCCGAACCCATGGAGCGCAATACCGCTATCGTTCCAGTCGTCATGCATAAGGTACTGCTGAATTAGTTAAAGGGCAATTGCTGGAAGCGTCTGAATTCTGGGACACGCAAGAAAGAACGAGATTGCGAATCGATCTGTGCAGAGAAGGCATCTTTACGCTAGAGATTAGCAAGCTTGTGCAGCGGGCTGAAACCTCGCCAGACCAAAACATGAATGAACTGATAAGGTCAAGTCGCCTTGTTCGCTGCCTGGTAGGGTTTGGAGGACACACGTCTCTGCACGTACCTGGCAACAACGATGGCACCATCCCTGACCACGACCAGATGTCTCACGACCCACCCAAAGCCTGGATCGGAAAATCGATGCATCTAACGAGAGCTTCAGACATGTTCCTTTGTGCGTTCCTTCCTCGAGGCGTGCATGCGACAGGATTGGCCTCTGGCCGTCTGGCGAACATCCAGAATTTTTTCTCGCCACGGAGTATGACATACATCTAGCCTCGTGCCTGCGCGAAGATAGCGGACGGAAACACACGAAACTCTCCTGGCATGAAGTCATGGCCTCTCATGCTCTCAGACCAACGGTATGTTGACCAAGGCGAAGTCTGGTCAACCACGATACCGAAGGAACATCCGCCTGCTTTTGAACTTTTGAACCAACACCGGTTCCAGACATACCACTTCGGTCGCTTGTAACTTGGCCTTTGGCTGTCAGGGAAACTAAAACACAACTCCACGTCTGCCGCTTCCTCTTGCATTGCTATTGCTACCTTAAGGCCTGACAAACTCCAGACCTCGACCCCCGAAAATGCCGGGGAGGTTGTAGCCTACCTTGGACCACATTGTCACCCACAACGGTTTTTGGCATTGCCATGCACACAAAGGCAGCAGGCAGCGTGAACAACGAAGACTGAGGAACCTCAATCCGGAATGAGGAAACTAAAAGAACCTCGGATTCTGCTTTAAAAAATCTGAAGCCTCTTATGCCTGATTCGGAAGAGGAAGGCTTCACCTTGAGCTTTTCGAGGCATGAAAGAAATCACCGGAAGGAACACCTGAAGCCCCGCACAACTTTGATTGCAACGGAACGCCGCAAGGGAAAGATTTTGACAAATAGGCATCTCTACGTTAACCTGCATGGGCAGTTCCAGGGACATGGTACTTTGAAAGTTGCGGAATGTGTCGATGCTCGGCAAAAATGCTGGTGATTGGTATGATCATGACGACGACGACGACGACTACGTTTCCAACCTTGCAGGAGCCGGCAGGGAACAATACCCACGGCCTCTGCACAAACGCATCCACAAGCTACAAGCCACACTAAGTGTGTGAGCGTACCCCAAAGTGTTCATAAATTCTCTTTGGCTCTTTCAATGACATTCCACCCCGACAACCTCAACACTCGCAACAGACTCTAGATTCTAGATGCTGGCCATGTCCTTCGTGCAGATGATGCAGCACCGATGCCAACTGACGAGGATGGCTTACGCAAATAAAAAATGTCTAGACGGGCAACCTGAACGGTCAGGTCAAGTCGGTTCGAAGCTCAAACCCATGGCCTCAAACAGGTTTTATACTCCTGGTCCATAACCCCCCCTCCCCCCACTGCCCGACAGAAAACACACTGCCCCTGATTCTCATAATACGATATTATACTATACTATACTATACTATACCATACCACATTACATTATACTGTACTATACTATTGCAATACAATACTAAGCTATACTATCCTGTACTATACTCGACTATACCATACCATTCTATACTATGTTGTATTATACAATACTATACCATGTCAATGTCATATGGTATACTATACTATACCTCATTACATTAAACTAAACTATACTATGTTATACTATACTATACAATAGTAGGCTATGTCAATGTCATATGAAACCCTAAACCCTAAACCCGGTTTTGGCCCTAAACCCTAAGCCCTAAACCCTAAGGGCTCACCTGCCGGAGGAAAGGATCCGGACATCCACCGTTCCAAAAGTTGTGTCCTGCAGCTTTCGGAGTTTGGCCCTTTCAGGGTTTAGAGTTTGTAGGGCGTTTAGGGTTTAAGTTAGGGTTCAGGTTAAGGGTTTACGGGGTTTTAAGGGTTTAGGGTTTATAGGGCTTTCAGGGTTTAGGGTTTATGGTTAAGAGGGATAAAGAAAGAGCTTGGGCTGCCTGGGGCTTAGATGAAGCAACATACGCTTGAAACAACGACTCTATGGAGTGTTACCTCTCGTCGCTCCTGTTGTTACTGGCGCTGCTGTCTCAAACGTAAGGCACAGCCGCATCCCTAAGCAGAGCTGAAACCCTCAACTCCAAGACAGACGGTTCCCAATCACCGCACTTCCCCGTTTTCCTTAGCAGCCCTCAGGGCCCTTACCAATATCGTGGGCTTCGATCCTAAACCCGACATTACAGCAACAAGCAAGTCTCCCGGAAGGCTTCGGCAGCCACCCGGGCCCAAACATCGCTGTCGTCCGGGAGGAAGTACCTTATTCTCTGCAGCAGAGATCACAGAATGAACCTTTCCCGCTCCGTGTTGCTCTGGGGCCTTTCTGTTGGGTTGGGGGTCAAAGGGCTTTAGATTGGGCTTGGGTGTTCATGCTTTCGGATGTGAAGCGGGGCTGATGGCAAGATTCCAGTTCGTCTCTTTTCAACAGGAAGAACTTAGAAAGCTCACAAGCAGTGGCAATGACACTACCGGTATCACTACAAGTACCAACGCTGAGGAGTTGAATACTCATCACCATCCTGCAGAAAACCCGGAAAGCGCCATTCACACAAGATAGAATAAGAACAACAAGGACAAGAAAAGCCTCCCCCCCACTCCCCCCGACTCCCCACAGCCACCCACCCCCCGTCCCCACCCAACCCCCCAGCGCTACCGCCACCGAATCGCACGGCGACCACCACCCCCACCACCACGCCACTTCAAGCTCTTTGCGAACCTGCAAAGCGCCAAGCCGCTCGGTGTCGCAAAAGTGGATGTCGCAATACTCCAGCTCCTGTGGAAGTAGATGCCATATGATCTTGGGGAAGAAGTAGAGGATTAGAGGGTCCAAGACAGGAGACTACACAACGAGAAAAGGGATTTGGAGTACGTTGCTCACTGCACTCCAAGGGGTCATGGAGGGTACTTCTGATGCTACTCTTCGAAATCATCGGATCCCCGCCGTCCTGGCGAAGGGTGTTGCACATGCCGAACAAGGTGCCCGAGACGCAGAGGCCCAGACCAGCCTGACAGAACAACACATCCGCTGGATTTATTAAGAAGTAGAAGGGGGTTTTGGAGTCTGTTAATGTTATATGATATTATCAAGTCATGGCAGGGGTATCATGTTGCCTGCCACTTTATTCAAGCCCCTATAAACAGGCCTGCTGAGCAGGCTGCAGATTTAAATTGCGGTGCCGTTCATATGGGTCCGTGTCGTCAGAGTGATGTGCTCTTCTGCGGCTCTAAATGCAGCAGCTATTTAGTGAGCTACCCGCAATGTCGCGACACAGAAACGCCAATGGCATGCCGTAAGGACTCGTGAAGGACTTGGGAGTCAGGCACTGGCCTTCATGTGAGTCTTCTTGTCTTCGTGGAAGAGCCCACGCACGAGACAGAAGATCTTAGTATTGGTCTCAGCTCTCTGCAGCTCATAGGAGAGCCAGAAGTAGAGTCTGGAGATCACGGTGTTCCTCGGCTGAAGGGACATCACACCCTAAACCCTGCATGCTTCCTTGCATGCTGGACCTTAGAAACCCCTAAGACCCTATAATCCTTCAGTCCTTAGACTCTGCATCCCTAAACCTAAAAAACCGCTAAACCCTTAAGCCCTAAAGCTCTCAACACCCGCAAACCCTAAAGCTTAAATTACACAAGATCGGCCCAAGGCTCTGCTCGATGACATCTGGGACACTATTGCTCCTTGGTGGGTCGCAGCCGACGGTGAAGACCACCATGTCCCAGCCCTTCTTGGGCTCGTTGACGAGCTTCTTGACATCCTCCTGGGTGAGGGAGTGGTAGTTCTCCACCACCTGGCAAGCTTTCACAGAGACCCCCAACAGGATCTCTGTAGCAAGGGTGCGCCAGTAAGAGAAATCTAGTTTGAGGCACATGCCTGCCTTCTTCATGCTTATCCGTCCCTCGGGTGCATTTGCAAAGAAGTTCTTGCAATAGCCGGAGTGGTCGGAGAAGGCAAGGATGTTCAGCTTGGCTGGCGTGTCCGGCTTCGGGATCTCCAGGGGCTCCTGGTAAGGGAGTGAACTTAAACCCAATATGGGTAGTTCTCTAAATTAGGGTTCCTTTTTGGTGTCCTTTTTATACAGGTGCCGTGCTATTTTGGGGAACCTAAAAAGGGACCCTACGTGGATAGCAGTACCTAGCCTTGCGGGATCAAACTTGTATGCAAGAGGAGTCCTGCACTTGCCCCTTCACGTATGGGTCCATCAGCTTCGGAATCTTGTTGGACTGGTTGATAAGTTTTTCAACCTCACGTGCAATGCGCAAGAGGCCAAGACTTCACGAAGTCTCTCTAGGAAAATGAGACAGAGGTGCATCAGCAACAAGCACAGCATCTGTGAAGAACAAGTTAAACTGCTCTTCTGCAAAGCTCGGGCATTGACCACGACATCCATGGCCGAGCCATCTTTGGTTTCCACTGGCCTCAGTCATATGACCCAACAAATTCAGCAAGTGTGTCAATGGACTCGACAGCTCTTGAGAGCGGTCCTTTCAAAATTCAATCAACGCAGCTTAGTCGCAGCTCCTCTTTGAACCACTCCACGGGCCAGCACATGTGGCCGTCTAATTCTTCCATCGCCGCCATGGCGATCTTTTCATAGTCTGCCATTGCTGGGCGTAGGCTAAGGCCAGCTACCCAGATGCAGTTCTCCGCGGTTTCCCTGTTGAGCCAAAGCGGGGCATACGGTCATGCCTCAACAAGACGTGGATCTCGAAGCCCGTGCCCGACCCAAAGAGGTTCATTAGCAGGAAGAGCTTCGAACTCTCCAGTGCCAGGGGACTGGGTGAGAGAGGTCTGGGGACTGGAGAAGCCCTGGTGACAACAACTGTAGCTGAAGCTCAGAAGCTATGTGCTGCAAGATGGGCAGCACGTCCCGATAGGCTTCCAAAGCAGTCTCGCAATGATCCTGAGTCCAAGGAGCCTACACTTCGACACTTCAATTGCTAAGCAAGGAGGGCCGTCTGTTCAACTCAACTTATCTGTCTGAAGGCGATTTGTCACTTGGTCCCAGCCACCCCTATGTAAAAGCAGTCGCCCATGCGAACTTTCTACGCATGTAGCATTGACTTGGCCAGAACCTGTGCAAGGATCATCCTCGTTCGTGGCAAAGGGATGTTGGATAGACACAGCCGCGCTGACTGTTGCCTGCACACAGATGGGGCTTGCAATCTGTCGTGGACGAAGAAGCTGCAAAGGTTCTGTCCAGATTCAATTGTCTAAGGCTCCCATGCGACGAGCATTGTCCTGTCTATCTAGCCGACTGGGGAATTGCCTGTCTCATTGGCATCCAGCCTTCATCTTGTTCTTGTCACATTCAACAATGGCAGCCCTCTCCTCTCAAGGCAAGCTGTGGTTACTGACGCTGCCCCAGAGATCACAGACTAAAGCCAAGTGGGTTGTAAAATGCACAAGCAAAAGAGCGAGAGAGAGGGAGAGAGAGAGAGAGATACCTGGTAAGGACTGCAAGCAATCCCGCGACCGTGCGGACTCCCGCTCCCGGGAACGGACGTCATTCTTGAACCTCGTAAAAGCTGGATATCTTTTCGCAGTGGCAGCGGGGCTTGCTGCTTGTTTGGGTAATACAACAAACACTCAATCCAAACGACAGATTGTGCCAGTAGTCACATACTGCCAACATCATAAATCTGCGTGCTGGACTACGAAACTTGCCCACGGCTCCTTCTTGGAGAAGGACTTCCATCTCGCTTTCAACTGCTTGTCGTAGCGAGGGTGCGTAGGGTTCAAACGGTCGGAGAGCGTGCCTGCTGGAATGCAGCCAATAGGAGCCCAGCTACCTATATACACTGACAGTCATGTAAGAAACGCATATGGTGTACGGTCTATCATATGGATAAATAGATAGACAGATAGATAGATAGATGGATAGATAGATACATAGTTAGATAGTTAGAGATTTAGATAGATAGCTAGATAGATAGGTATATAGGTAGATGGTAGATAGGTAGATAGATAAAGATACATAGAGACATGGATAGATAGGGTAGGTAAATAGATACGCGTATATGAAAATGCTTCATCAGCGCAGGGACACCGACGTTCCCAAAACTCTTCTTAGATCCTACGCCCAAACCAAAAAACTGTGACCCACTGGCCTTTCGAGGCGGGGTCGGTCAGCTCCTCCATCACGGCCTGAGCCTCCGCCGAGAACTCAGTAGCCTGTCGATGGTGGCTGGTTTCAGGGTTTCGGAGTTTCATGTCTACGGTATGAATCAATTTTAAAGGTGGCTTCGGGCACTTCGAAGGCAAGCGCGAACTGTTTGAAGGTTGCTTTGTGAATCCTTGCGGCTTACGAGAGGTACAGTTGTTCAAGGTAAGCCATGACATCACAAGCGTCAGGCCTCACAACACTCGGCTCGCTTAAGTTCCACCACAAAAAGCCGGAAGTACCGGAATTCTCCTTACCGGGGGGGGTCTTTCGCCAAACGGGCCTTGGCCGCGGGTGGCGCTTTAGCCGCCTTCTTCCGCTTGGCTTTGCGAGTCGGCTCCTGGAAGGCTTGTGCAGTTGAGGGAGCCATGCACACGGTCTATGTAAACATGTAACTATCACTGAACTATCATTGTAGGGGTTTCCGGGGGAAGTTCCTCTGCGAGTTCATTTCGTGCGCGTGTGTGTGTGTGTGTATACAACCATGTATAACTAAAATTAGATGTACAATACACATGTACTGTATTCCGAAGACAGATATTCCGTCGCCGTTTTCGAAGCGCAATGCACGACGAACGATGAGCGGCGCTTGGCGTACTTGCGCAGAACACGTAGTCCTGTAAATCTGAAGATATCCCGTGTTGGACTGCGCAGGACGACTATCATGATAAATGTCATCGAGAAGCCACAAGTCAAGGTTCAAGAAACGATGCGAAACCGCAATAACCTGTTGAATCACGTGTCTTCGCTGCGGTTTGTTCTCAAGGGGATATGATCCAGGGATACCGATGTGCACCCTCGTCGTGAGTTTAAAACAGAGTGCAAGGAGAGTGCAGAAACAGCCGGGACCTTGGCCGCACTTTCTGGCATTGCCGCCTTCTTGCGCTTCGCTTTGCGCCGTGGCTGCGGCTGGACATCCTGGGCCTGCTGTGCTCAACCGGTGGGGGTCTAAACAGGGTTTATGGAAACGCTGTGATGTGAGGGTGTCGGGTCCATCATTTCGGAATCAGGGCTGTGCACTCTCATTCTGACTCACTCAAAATCGTACGACCGAACTCCTAAACCAGATCCGAAGTCAGAGCATTCTGGCTCAAGAGAGACTCCTGAAGCATATACCCCAAGTTGTCTATTTTGCACTCGCCTCAGGAACCTCAGCTGCAACTCCCTCAGCGCCACGCCGGCGCTTCTTCGCCATGTGCAAATCAGGATGAGATGGGGGCCCGGGGGGCTTTTCTTTTGTGCTGCCTTGATCTATAGGTTTCTCTCTGTATGTCTTTCTGCGATTACCGTAAACGTGATGAGACTCAGCGGTTTGCTGCACTTCACAGTTGCCGTGCCAGCGATTCAAGTTTCGAGTTCGCACTCTTTCCACGTGCTCTGCGGATTTTAGTGTGCCAGTCTTGAGCTGAAAAAGGCTCGGAGCAAGGGGATCGGAGCTGGAATCGTTAAACTTGTGTCAGGCACTGGGAAAGGGTCACATGTATGGGTGGTAAGGGATGAACCGTTACCCAATGGCACACATGTTACACATGCTGAGACGCTTTACACCTCTCACACTTAATACAAAGTCACTGCAAGCCCCGGGTCCCGGCGGAAATCTAATGCTTCCCGCCCAAGTTCCGGACCTATCCAGCAAATCGCGCACGACACCTTGTTGCGATTGAGACGCAATTGACAGGCCTTCTGGCTTCGGCACAGCCATAGAAGAGCAAATTCATGCAAAGCACACTACAAGGACTCAAAAGCCAGTTCTTGCAGGGATAGTCGAGCGAGCATGATGCATATTATCGGCAAAGAAATCGAACACGACCTTGCTGGGGCATCTTGGATTTCCATCTAGTGCATATGCATGGCTCATACCTGCTTAGTGTCTCATGCGTAATGGCAATGATACCAACAAACAAACCATCTGCTACAGTGCTGGAAGCCCAGGATGACTATGGGTGAAGTAGCACTAGCTGATGCATTCGGACGCGAACTCCCAGTCTCTGGAAACCCTCATGGAGATGCCTGAAGTCGAGGTGCGTGCAGAGATTGCTAGGATAGGGCTAGCTGCTTGACATTCTTCCCGAGGAGCCTTCGGCCTCGAACTCCCTCCCTGGCTCTTCGCCAACGTGATTTCTTCAAACGTCTATATTTCTACAGTTCCATTCTCAATCGCTGATGTCCAAGCCTTTCGACTAGCCATTCAGAGTAACTGAGTAACCCTGCGGCGAACCTGAAGCCTCCATCTTACGCTAAAAAATTAGCCAAAATCTCGACTGCAACTATTCGTCCCCTCACCTCGGCTGATTGCAAGGCTCTGCCAAACTGTGTCGAGGGCCCCCGCGCTCTTTGAAGCTAGGTCTCGGCGGTTCGGGAGGTGGCTCCTGTGCACCAGCGTTGGCGCTCTGATAGGGCTGTGCCTTCCGATTCTTGGTGCTTAGTGGGCTTGGGGGTTTAGGCGGTAGCTTCGGGCTTTTCAGTTCGAATTCGGGTGCCTGGCATTTAGGGAGCCGAGAGCTTGCACGAGAAGGAGCCGCTTTGCAGATCCGGCCTTCGGCTTCTCCTTCTTCGGGATGACCACCGGGTCCGGCCTGCATGGTCTGAAGCAGCCAGTGGGTGTCGGGACAGAAGGCCTGCTCTGGTAGTTGTGAGGAGCGGCTTGATGATTCAGAGCTCGGCTGAAGGGTTGTATGGGAAGGGGGAGAGGAGGCATGGGTCAAAAGGTAGAGGTAGGATCCGAGATCACAAGCGACGTGCATGATTGCTTCCCCGCTCACGGCTTTGTGATTCTGCGACGAAGAAGCTTCGCTTGTATGCCTTGCGCTTCGGAAAAGGCTGCAAAAAAAGTTCGGACTTCTCGGCCTGATGCCGGTGAGGCGGAAGAATTCGTCCTGAGCCAACCCAAGATTCGATGTGGGCTCATTGTTAGTTCGTCCCTCTGACCTTCACAGGAAGATCCGCTCAATATTCTGAAGCGCAGTCAGGATGTAGTTGTTGCAGCTCTTCCCCAAGCTTTACCCCAAACTTTGCGCGCCTCCACATCTCCGGCTGCCTTCGGGGCTTCCCTCGCAGGAGCTGATCGGATCCCAGGCTGGGGTCTTAAAGTACAGGATACATTTGGCAACCTATATAGGATGGCCACCAGAAACCCAGCCGCTGCGTAGGTCCTACAAAGCAGGAAACAACAAACCGCCAACATCCACCACCCATGAAGAGAGCAACGATCTTGCTTAAGGCCGTGAGCTAATTACTTGTCTCGAAACGGGCTGTATCCAACAGCTCCCCTGGAGAGCCGAATGTATTTCGATTGCAGCCGAACCAGCTTGGTGTCTATCAGCCCGTAGACAATTTGCTACGCATGCACCAGCCGTACTAGCAAGAACAACCACAAGATCGCATCGTCACAAGTGGCATGAGCTTTCGTCTTCAGAGTAGCTGTATAGAGTATAGAGTATGCACCAGCTTTTTTGGCTCAAGCAGGCGCTTTTAATTCCGCAGCACGTCCCAAACGGACAGCACCGCGCTTCTTGACTAAACGGCTTCACCGACGCAGCGACTCGCCCGTCCTCAGACATGTAGGTTTGCACAACAAAAAATCTGGATTTCACTGACGTGCACGTCATTTCTGTCAGCAGCACCTGGATGACTGACATGAACTGCCAATTGCCAAAACTCCCATGCACTAGCAGGGCACCTCAAACGAAGAGCCCTTCCACCTCCATCTCGGCAAACTCATAAGGAAAGTCCTGTCAAAGAGGTAGCTCGGCGAAGAGTCTGTAGAGAGCTTTCACCTGGACTCGGCCCCAAATTTTCAAACATCCATAACCCATCCCTCGCGCCCGCAGGCCTGTGCTGCACCCTTTAGGGCACTTCAGCTAACAAAACTCGATCTATAATGACCAATTGCACAGGCATGCTGGTCGTACTCTCATGCGAGCTTCGGTATGTCCTACCCAGCTTTAACTTATCTTCCGGTTGTTGCGACGGCTGTGTGCCATGTCTTCTTGCGTCTAACTCTGCGAAAGCGAGACTCCCGATTCATCACACAGGACATAGCAAAAAAGGACACGCCATCAGCAATTTTGTTGCCCCAAGGGCCACTAAACCCTAAACCCCTAAACCCCTAAACCCCTAAACCCTAAACCCGAAACCCTGAAACCCTGAAACCCTAAACCCCTATAAACCCTAAACCCCCAACCCCTTTTGCTTGTCCCTGTCCTTGCCCAGCTGGGAGCAGGAGCCGGGCCCTGGGGGCGCGCCGCGCCCCGGGCCTCCCACCTCAGCCACGGTTTGCTGAGTTTAGAGTTTAGGGGTTTAGGGGTTTAGGGTTTAGGGTTTGGTTTCGGGTTTAGGGGTTTAGGGGTTTAGGGGCTTAGGGTTTAAGGGTTTGGGGGGTTGGGGGTTTAGGGTTTGGGGGTTTAGGGTTTAGGGGTTTAGGGGTTTAGGGGAGTAGGTGTCGGCGCCAGGGTTCAAGGTGGAGTCTGTCGGGATGGGGTTTGCGCTTCATGAGCTCCCATACGACTCGTAGCCGTCAGCGCCACAGGTTCCGTGGAATTCAGCTTGCATCTGTTCGGTGTTGATACAAGGACTATACCACGGAGCGTTGCGGCCACCCGACCACTCACAACGTCCAGCATCAACATGTTACTTGAGGCGACCGCCACGCCGGTGTGAACACCGCGAGCCAGGAGCATGCACCTGTCAGAAGCGGCATTGGGCGACTTTGTTGTGTAACTACTAACCCTCCAGGCACCTACTATATAGGGCCTTAGGGGCCCTGGTACCCTATATAGTAGGCAACTGGAGGGTTAGGGTAAGGTACAGTCCAGAAGGCCACCAGCTCTATGCGGTGGAGTGGAGGAACGGCCCTGGCTTCCGAAAGCAACTTTCGAGACATGGAGACTCGCAATCCTTCGTGCTGCCCGAGACGATTCCGCCATGCCTACCTCCTGCTGCCTGAGCCACCTCGAACCTCGATGATGATTTCTGGCGAAAGCCGAATTAGGGACCTGAAAAGTTTCACATCGAGCCAAAACTGAAAATCCTTCACGCCACGTCCAACTGCACGACTAAGATATACTAGGGCTTTCCCCTAGGCCTGAAGGCCAAAAGTCGGGGCTCCGCCGCCTCCGTGGAGTTCACGCCTGGAGCCACAAAATCTAAGTCACATGGACTCTTTTGTACTCCCGCCCTGTAGCACGAGGTCTTCCCTTCTCCCCACCCTTGCCCAAAGCGGCAACACTAGACAAAAAGCAAGAACCCTCACCGTCGAAGACGTCTCTCCTGGTGCACTCCACAGACGTTCGGCGATGGCAGCCGCTCTGGGCCAAACTGTGGCCTCCATGTCTGAAGGATCCTCAGCTTGCCGTCCACCCCCAACAAGGTATTACACAAGATGGCCACAGCTAACCTATTGAGTCGTGTGGGTTTCTATCGGTCAGCACGGTCTCGGACAAGATGGACAAGAAACGACACGCAGCGTTGAGGTCGCTCAGTGTGCTGCGTGGGTGGGATAGTATCATTTCGCGTGATCTATAACATGCCGCTAATGCTCGCTTGCCTAGCTCAGGAACAAGGTTCGGACGACTACAGGTTTTGCTATGCAGTTTCTGCTGCTATCCAAAGCCGGCAGCACCTTGAGAACTTTAGAAGCCAGGCTGCCACAGTCTCGCCCCACATGCAGCCCTCGCCACCCAGGACAAGGTGGGCCTTGTCGCTGCTGATGTTGAACTGGGGGTCCATAGCCTTACCGATCGCAGGGACGGCCGGAACTATTCATGTCATGCTGCATCTTGGACGATACCTGCAGCTGCAGAGCACAAGACAATGTAAGGAGCAGTGCACACGCACCACTGCTAGACGCAGCTCGTGCTTCGTTCGGGCGGCAGCATCAGAGAGCCTGCTACTAATACTTGCAGCGTCGAGGCATACATGCTTTGCCATGTCGTGGTGAGATGGTCAAGATACCATCCTCAGAAGGATCGCAACAAAGAAATGGAGAAGAATCGGCAGAGCACTTCTTTCCAGACTACTCGATACGAAACCAGTACGGAGACTAAGTTTAGTGACTAAATGCTCAACTCCCCCGAGACCAATCGCCGACCCTGATCCCGCACAACTCTGAATCTTCGAAGAGTCAGTGAGTTGACTGTTTGACTGCATCCGAGGATCCATTCGACAGGAGCGCACGGTATCCTGCCAAAAGTCACAGTCCTGCCTTCCACTTTTTTTTGAGAAGCTGTGGCAGGAAGCTATGTGCTACGTCTGTTGGGGCAAAGTTAACTGAGGTGCATCTGTCGCCTTTGGAAACAGGTGCACACGTGGGTACCTGATGATGGACGACTCTCGAATTGGATGGACGGCTAAGGCTGAAATGATTGTCAGATCTCAATGGATACTGTGAGATGTACACCAACTCAACACCTCCACACTCGACCTGCAGCCACTATGAAAAATGCAACCTGAAGGGGCCTGCGTTCACGATCTGCTGCATGAGCTTCGAGTCGTGCCAATTCTGGATCACTGCCTCCTAGCAGTTCTTTTCTTCAACTTGTACCGAGCTCTCCCCTTCCAATCACCAACCAAGAGCTAGACTGAACTGGTAAACCAGCAAGCTTTTTAATTTCCTCCGGCGAAGGCTCTCAGAGGTTCCTCTTGCGAGCGTCTGCGCAAGATGCAAAAGTGTGAGCTGGCCCGAGCAATGAGTATTAGCTGTCGTGCAGGCACTGCGCATCCCCTTCAGACTTATTGCAGGCTACCAATTCTTTGGTTCACAGCATTAGCGTCTGGACTATTCGCACATCGGGACCACGTGCGCTGCATGTCAGCATCTCCGGCGACAGGGCGCGAGGCGACCTGCACTGGAAGCACCGTGCGCTGATCACCAAGGCTGATTCGCGGAAGTCTGTGAATTAAGGGGCACTTGAAGGCTCGAAGACTCAATGCGATCAGTCCATGTAGTCGCCGGCCGTCATAGGGACGGACACTCCTCCGTCTGCGGTCTGATCTGCGCTCGCCCGACCTCTGTAGCACATCCGCGCTCGGCGCATCTTCGGCTTGTTCCGCTGGCCTTTGCTTAGGATGCGGGGCGGACAGGAGAAGACGGCCACTGGAAGGTCTGGCTCGAAGACGACCTTCAACACCTCGCAGTCCTTGCACTGGATCTTGACACTCGAGAGAGGCATCGGTTCCCCGGAATCCAGCATGATCAAGTCCCCCATCTTCAGGCTGCCTGCAGCGACGTATTTCTCTGCGCCACCCCCATCGCCGGGGACCAAGACGAGATGGTCAGGTGTTACCTGCAGCATCGCATCTCCGGCCTGCAAGTCCACAACTTCAGTAGCTGGGAGCACTTGAGGAGCCTCACTGACCTCCAAGATGGTCTTATCATCGGCCCCGACCACTTGGGATCCTTTCTTCAAGTCCTTGCCCATCAGGAAGAAGTCGACGCCGTAGCTACGGGTCTTAAAGAGGGCCTGAACCATGAAGCAGTGAGGTTTGACGGAGAACCATGATGAGCGGCTCAGAACCGAGGAGGCAGCATCATCATCGGCCTCTACCATGGTGTATCCCCTCTCTTTCGTGTCCGATTCCTCATCGCTCGAAGCTTGGATGGTGGACGAGGCCGCAGCACGGCTGAAATGAGCGAATCCCCGACAGTCGGTGTTCCCGGTTCGATGCTGCACTTGGCGCAGCCGCTCCTTGTATGTGGCGTTCTCAGTCCAGAGTGCCCTAATCTCATCCGCTTTTGCCGAGGCCTCCACTTCGGCTTTGGCAAGCTGCTCTGTCAAATTCTGGCAACGCTCTTTGTACGTCGCATTCTCCAACAAAGTTTGCAGGCCTGGGTTGCTCCCATCTGCGTTCTCACATGCTGCCATGCGGCTGGAGAGCTTCACGTACAGCTCCTTGTACTTCATGACCTCGTCCTGGCTTGCCTGAAGCTTGCTCGCGTCAGTTTCGGCTGCCGCCTCTGCCGCGGCCACACGACTGTTGAGCCGTTCGATCTGGCTCTTGTACTCCCTACTCTCATCATGACTTGCAGTAAAATGGAAGTGTGATTGCCCGC